TTATATCACTGAGCATTTTCTCAATACTTATTAAAGTAAAGGTTAAAGGGATACACCTTATTTGCATCTTAATTGCTTTCTGCAAAGCACATAGGCAAGACACCCAGGGTCTGATTCTGTATTCAGTTTTATACATGTATTATTGACAACATAATGCAAGCATATTCATGGGTCATGTCTTCTTTATGCCCAGTGGGGACTCTGGAACACATATTTCCCCATTAGAAGAGATGTGTTTTCAAACTGGTTAAATTACACTTATCACAGCAAGGCATAACAGATTGAATATTCCTATAAACAGCCCTAGTGTACTGCTTGGAATTTACCAGGCGCTGAAAATGTATGTTTTTAATTCTCTCTTATACATTGTGTTATAGTATAATAAAAATGTCAAAACTTGCACATTTTATGTTGTCCTTTAAAACCCCAGATTTCCTTTACTTATAAATATAAATGAAAGCCATAATGCCTCTGAGTCTCAACAACTGAACCAATTTGGCTTAACAGAATAAAACATGGAAGAGCAACCATTTACAATGTCTTTCTTTTATCATAAACTGCTACAAATATAGAACACTACATTAACACAACAAATACAATGGAATGGAGACATTCAACATTGATCTGATGAGTGGAACAATTTAATTACCAGAATTAGCAGAGAAGGGCATCTGTATTCGATGAACCCTAGCCATGAGTCACAAATAACAAAATCACTATCATCCTAATACTAATTTAAAATGTCATTTTCAGAAGTGAGATTTCGGAGGCAAGCCGTCATATAAATCACACTCAGAAAGGATACATTCAGAAAATTAATATAGTGTATTTAGTACATGTACACAGACAGTGGAAATCATTTTTATTTTATTATACAAGCCTATAAAGAGCATGGTGTACCAAATAGTTTTGCACTACTGCTCTCTGACTTTACACTTCCAGAGGCAAGATTGCATTTAAAAATTTATATTGAAAATGGCAAGCAGATAGCTTAAGCTACTTATGAATTCTTTTGTAAAGCTATTAGCCTATAAGAACAAGGCATGAAAGAGAAAGCACTGTTCTATTTTTAGACCTTTAAAAAGCCTTTACAATCATCAGGTAATCAAAACCCATTTAGATCATACCTTTAACCCTGCACCTGTAATTGTATAACAGTATAGTAACAGTAATGCATAGACAGATGACCTATTATAAGGGTGACGGCTGTTAGGTGCAGCATTTTGTCTTCAAGGTTTCCTTTGATGGGTGAAAAATAGCACTGTTATTTTTAGCTTATAAAAAATGAGACTAAAAATGGAAAAACGGCATAAGCCTGATGTACCAGGAAAACAAGGCATGTCTGTTTGAGTTTGTTAAAGTCTATTTTATAACTTAAAGAGGTAGAAGTTGAAACATCTACTGGCTTGCCCCCCACCTTGCTACTGATTAGCTGTTTTGACAGCTACCAAAGCAATTGCTTTCCACAGTGGTAGCACAATGGAAAACCATTGCATTTTTGGATTGCTGAAAGCAGGCTATGTTATGCCCAAGAAAGCTAGACAACTGCCTGAGCAGTGGTAGCCTTTGGCATAGATGAAATATATGATCGACAGGGGTATCAAGTAGGGTAACCCCCAATAATCTTAAATTGGGGGTACTTTTATTCTTGTGGATGTATTTTGCACAAGCACAGTATCAGTACCAAATTGTGGACTTTAGTACTCTTTTATTAATTTGTATTTGGTATTATATGTTAGCCATCCACGTGCAGATGTTAAGCCAATAACATTTTTACAGTATATTTATACAGTCTTCAAACTACTGAGTGAAAGTATCATAGGAACAAGGATGGCTGAGTTGGAGGTTGCAATTGGGCTCACTACTTCTCCTGCATAGGTCCTACCTAGGTATATACAAACACCAGCCTATCTCCAGGAAAAGTCAGCTACCTTCACAATGGGGCTATCCTCACACTGCAAGGATTAACTGATTGTTTTTGTCTAGAGATATTTAAGGACTTATATTTACCTGATCCCTACTCCTGCAAGCTCTAAGATCAGTGCCCATAACCTCTTCCCATCTGAGCTCCGGTGGTTGGAGGCAAACTGATGTCATCATGTATAATGCAGGGCTAAGGGCGAGGATGCTGAGGGACAGTCCACAACACAAGCCAGACAATAGACAAAAGAGGTGAGTGCCAACTGCTGGGGGAGTGGGGATCAGGAAAGTAAAAGTCATTTTTGCAGCATTAACAAGCAGCTAACTCTTACAGTGATAGGTTAACTGCAGAAGGAGTTATAGTGAATACCACGTCTACAACAGTGTGCATAGGACTAAAACTCAGTCCTGGCTCATGTCTTGCACTGGGGCCTAGATGTGTCAAGCGACACTATTAAGCAGCACATAAATAGAGAGCAGTCTAGTCTCTAGCAGCTCACTTGTTCTGTAGCTGTAAAGTATCTGTTCGGGTTCACTAAGCCTGACATTACTGTGCTTGAACTAATACAATGGGAGCCATAAATTGCTGCTGCAATCCAGGGGCTTCTCAATTAGGTATCCCACATTACCTACTTTTAAAACTGGCAGCTTAGTGAACTATTATAACAGATGTCAAGTAAGTGGATTGGAGTAGTAAGTGTAATGTAAAATATAGAAATTCAGATGTACGTTGGCATTCCCGGTCCACTTTCAGTCAATGATTGCCGCTCTACAATTCTCATGGGTGTTCAGGAGAATCCGGATAACCTATATAGGTCCAGTAACTATTATACAGAGAGTATGGAGCAAAGTTTCACAGCCAGAAGTGCAACAATAGGCAGTTGTTAGCTGAATATGTGTAGATCAGAGTTCTCTCAGCTCAAAGGGTCATCTTCTAGAAGTCTTCTTTAAAGCTCATGTTAGCAACAGAGCTCATTTTTATATATACTAGCTTGTGCTCCTACGTTCTGAAACTATGTCTTCTAGTTCTTCTACGGGTCTTAAATATTCATTTTTATTGAGTTGTTAAAATGGAACAAAAACTACCCTTGTAGTGGGGTCCCCCGCACTGCAAACCCTAAATGTTTGTTAACTCTACAGAAAAGAGGAAAATGCTCGAATGTTTTCCTTAACTCCCTCTCTGGCAAGTACTGGCACTTTCTTCTCTCTGGCGATCCAGACTATGAGCGGTCCCTTAGCATCATCACGTAAAATGCAGGGCTATTAGTCCTGCATTGTATGTGGAGGGGGCAAACATGCGATTGGTTGTGGGAACGCCTTCGAGAGGAAGCTTTGGGGAACGGGTCGCATAGTGGGAAGGAGCCAACAGGAGTGAAAATATGGTAATTATTACACCGTATACCTCTACCCCTAGGCAATAAAAAAATATTTAACCTTTTGCAGTGTGTGTTGGGGCCCGGGAGGAGGGGGGAGGTTAGAGGGGGGGCGGGTATTGCAATATCATATATTTTCCAGTGCAAAGGTCAGCTTTATATATACATTTTCAAAAGCTTTTTAGGAGAACATAAAGAGCAATGATATACACCGATACCTGGGAGCAAACCAGAGTTCCATAAAATTGGCATTTAATCTGTGCACACATGTTAAAACCTGACAACAGACTCTCCTTTAGATTTATCAACAACAATGCCATGTGAGGATCTATCCGATTGAATTTTAATTGAATAGATTGTTTAGCTAGTACAGTGCCATAAACGTATGCCAAGTTCTGCTGACTCAGCCAAAATCTGTGATGTGTGTGGCCCTGCCTACACCACCTGACTCAACAAAAGTTGATTATCTGAAGGAACAGGGTGGAAGAAGGTTGGCTGAACAGTGACTGCAGCCAAAAGGATATCCTGACCATGGCAGGCGCTAGTTGTCTAAATGCAATAGCCTGCAGGAGAGTGTGTGGATGGAGAAATCTATAAGTGTATGACCAGCATAAGCCCCTGCACTAGATAGTTGTTGGTACATCTAATAACATTATACAGAAATTGTACATACTAACTGTATCATGCATGGCCACCTGTAGACAGTTGGGGACAAGTGAATGAGCACCTCTGGCTTAGTGATACCAGACAATTCCAAAACCAGCTAATCTCTGACCATTTGCTGTAGGTCACTGAACTTTTCCTATTGTCCTGTGACTTTTTAAATAATAAATTGTTCTGTTTGGCTAGCATTAAACAAACACCCTAATTCATCTCCGTGCTCAGAGCACACTGTCATGAAGTAGTCCTATTAAATCCAGCGGGGAGATGTTTACACATTTGTTGCAGAATTTGGTTCCAGCATGTTTCCACTGCCCCATTAGTGCAGTGAAGTGAACCATACTAATTGCCAGTTTAGGCTGCAAAAATCTAAACATTTGTAGTCATAGAAATCATGTTCGCTATGTGCACCTGACTGGTAAAGATCAACACAGAACAGAGAGACTTCATAACCAGTTTAGGTATCTGTGATAATAACACTACTACATCAATGTACACAGAAGCTGACCTAAGTTGCAGACATTAGTGGCATACAGAACATTCCATGCCAACCCTTTTACCTTATTTTTCAAGTGCAAGATAGGCACACATTAACATTTCATAGCTGCATTCAATGACAGAATATCTGAAGATCTGGCTTATATCTCCAAAGTAGGTAAGGTATGCTTTTTGGGAACATTAAATCACATGTATAAATCCATGGCATTGCAGCCTTGTGTTACCATTGTCACAAATGGTCTGTTCTTCTCTTTTATGTGTTATAAAATCACTTTGCAATTTAATATTTTTCAACATCCTAGGCATTGATTGTGACATTACAACTACACTGCAGCCTGTGAATGAAAATGTACAAATGAAGATATAAACACAAACACTTAAAAGAAACAATAATATATAACATTGTCACCCTTAGTCTAGGATCACAACCTACACACAGACAGAGGGTTTTATAATAAGTGACACTTGTTCTGGCACCTTCCACAATGGAATCGCATGTATGCAAAGACCATGCAATCATTTCAGGTGCAAACAATAAAAATGAAATACCTTTGATTCCTGGCTACTTGTGGAAGCTGGAGAGTGGGGCTGTTCAGGATTTCCAAGTTCATCCTCCTTCTCTACACTGTCTCCCATGGTGCTGCTTGGAGGGATCATTCTCTTTGCACAAGTCTACTCTTCTCCTGTAGGGTCAGTTCAATAGTAAAACTCAGCATCTCATTGGACATCTGTTGCTGCTTGCTTGTCCAGTTTGTGCTGACAGGTCCTCATGGTTTTTTTGTATTTAATCGCCTGGCTTATTATTTCCCTGCAACCCCTTTTGCGATCTGTGCTGTCTCTTCTTTCCAGACAAGTAGTGTTTTGAATAGAATTGTTTTTGCAGGGCTTGCGCAGCGTGCGGGTGAAGTATGTTCTCCCTTTATAGTAAAAAAGCCTGGAGGTATGGGACATGGAAGTGTGGCTGTCAGACCTGGAGATCGGGAGAGAAGTGAGCTGAAGCAGAAAGCCTGTGCTGCTTACACATGAGGCACGAGAAGGAGGAGCTGCCTTATAGTCTACACTTTAGGATAGCTTGCATAGGCATGTGCTGCTGTTGCTCTGCTGTCATCCATTGCTACACAAGGAAAGAGTGCTGAATGGACTTGCAGATGGCTTGAAAGCTTTTATTTCATTGGCTGTACACTGAAAGCTATTAGTTAAATAGTCATCACAAACCAAAAAAGGCATACAGAATAGACACAAACTGAAAATGAATGAGTATACACTGCTAGATTTTCTGAGCATCACCTGGCTCCACAAGTTGATTTTTCAATGGAAGAAGCCAGGTGGAAAACTGTTGGCTGAACATAGACTGCAGCCAATCAGCTCAGGTATTCTAACAGTGGCAGGCGCCTGCTGTCAGAATACAAGAGCCTAAAAAGGAAAATTCGTCCATGCTGTTTAGCATGGATGGAGACATCTATAACTGAATGACCTGCTTAATGTAAAAGCATTGGGAGTAAAATGTACTCTTTCCAATACTTTGAGCTGACGGGTGCCGCTGAAGCTCTATAGCTCGAAAACGGAGTGATCACAAAACGCTGATTGTTCAGCTCATGGTCTTCTCCATGTCAGTCACCGCTCCCCACCGGGATTCCCTCCTCCCCTCTCTGTTCCTGCAGCACTCATTGGATGGCCAGACAGGCAAGGGGCGGACACCGCTGGCTCTAGAGAGGCAGAGCCAGCTGTCAATCAGGCAGTGGGGTAGATCCCATTAATATTGTTGGGATCTTTCCTAGCTGCAGCGAAGCTCTGTGCTGAGTTTGGGTCACATTAGTCAAACAGTTAGTAAATGTACTCCTGTGACCGAAAAGAGAACTATACAAAAAAAAAGGTTTGGCTTTAGTTCTCTTTTAAGCCTTTGCACTACATACTTGTTGGTGGATCTAAACAACGTTATACAGAAATTGTTCATACTGACTGGCGCTCTCATTTTTCCAATACTCTAAAATAGTTTATGAAGAATGCTTGGTACAGTATACCCTTGTAAATGGTGAGCAACCTCCAAGATTCACGAATTGTACCAATTGTTCACATCCATGCAAGGGGTCCAGTGCTTCTACAATATACATTTATCTTAGGATACAATAGCCCAGTAGGGGAGAATTGTCCATTCCCACTATTTACTGTGGATTGACGAATCTGTTATATTTCTTTTGTTCTTCCCACAGGCTGAAGGAATTAAATCTATCTATATGTGTAGGGCCAGCTTTATTATCTGCTGCAACTAATCAGTAGTGATGAGGTTAAGGTTTGCCTCTACCTTGGGTTAGCGCCAGATCCAGCCTGTCTGAATTGTGTGGTACCAGCAAATTATTGCAGAAATATGCCTCTGTACCCATAATGCACTGGCTTTTGAATTTAGGTAAGCTTACTTAGAAGGGCCAGTATAGGGGCTTTTGGTAAAGCCAGTCCCCTCATTTGAAAAGGGTGACATCACAGCAGTCATATTGGAAATATGCTTCAGTTGGCACAGGGCAGAGGTAGAGAACCCCGGAGAGGTGGAGATATACCTGAACAAGTTGGAAGAGATCAAAGGTCACCAGGCGCAGCACACCTTTTTGGATATACACTAGCAAGGTTCTATAAAGGAAGGTTTGAAGAGTTTAGGGGTCAGTAATAAGTAACACATTTATCAGTGGTCAGTAGTAAATAATGCAGTGTTCACAAGTCAGTAGTATTTATTGCAGACTTCAGAGGCCAGTAGTAGGAAGTGCAGCATCAATAGTGAGTAATTCAGAGTTCAAAGGTCATTTGTAAGTAATACTTAGTGCAGGGGTCAGGACTCCGTAATGCCTAATTCAGAGGTCAGTAGTATGTAAGGCAGAGTTCAGAGGTTAGCACTTAGTAAGGAAGGTGTGAACTGTTTAGGGGACATACGTAAGTAATGCAGAGCTCAGGGGTCAGTAGTGAATAACGCAGGATGCAGGGGGTCAGACGTAAGAAATGCAGAGTTCAGAGGTCAGTAGTAAATCATGCAAAGTTCAGAGGTCAGTATTGTGTAATGCAGAGTGCAGGGGTCATACGTTAGTAATCAAAAGTGCAGGGGTGAGGAGTAAGTTGCACAGAGTTCATAGGTTAGGAGCATGAAACTCAGAGTGCAGGGCTCAGCAGTAAGTAATTCAGAGTTCAGAGAGAGGTGAGTGCTGACTGCCGCAGGATCAAGGATTAGTTTAAAAAAAAATTTGAATGATGTATTAATGAATAGAGAGCTGCATTTTTTGTGTCTTTTATACCTGTCTGCCTATTCAGCTTTGGCATGAGTCAGTAAGGTATATGTCAGCATTACTAATTCTTTATATTATTACTATTTGAATAAACTACTGTACTTCTTTTATGCCATGAATAAAAAATGCCACTCCCATTTAGGCAAACATCACATGGTTTTCGGCCATCAGAATCAGTGTGGGTGTTTCATGTTGTTAGAGAATGTAGAGAGTCTATTGAGTCTTTTAAACAGCCCCTGCCTTGTAGACATGCACTGAGATAAGGGGATCAGCAGAGCACGACTACAGTGCATCTCTACTATGCAGGCGGCAGAGTCGACATAAGGGGAAGATTTTATCAAAACTGGAGCAGACAGATTTTGGAGCAGTTGCCCATGGCAATCAATCAGCATCTCTCTTCAGTTTGCTCAGGTAAGATTTGGAAATTAGACAGATAAGCTGATTGGTTGCAGTGCAAATCTGCTCCAGATTTTGTCTGCTCCAGTGTTGATAAATTCCCCCCTTTGTGTATAGGACGTGAGGGTGCTGAGACACATACCATCTCTGGAGCAGAGTGGGAGCGAGTCAGAAGCTGGCTCGGAGGATCAGGTGAGTCTAACTACTATTTTTAAACCTAGGCAAAAATGAGCACCTAACCCTTGCAGTCACACTGCGAAAGTTAAGAATAATTTCCCCCCGAGTTCTGCTTTAAATTACTTCACTGCTACAAATGACTTCCTGCTACAACAGTTACATAATGTGTGTACAGTGTTTGATCTAGTGCACTCTGTAATGTAACAGACATAGTCAGATATGCCACCTCTCTTCCTTGTCATTTTTAGTCTGTGTGAGGACACTTGTGATCAGGAGCGTGGCCTCTTCACATCTCTGCCAGCATAGAGCACTGGAGTGAGAAAGCAGGAAGTGCATTTCCACTAACAATAGGTATTTCTAGGCATTTCCAAACCAAAATTAACAATCATAACATGTGTAGGTACCAGACTATAAAGAGAAAAAAAGGTGTGAGTTGAATTGAGCTTTGAAGCAGATAACAACGTGTATAAGCAAAGCAAAAATGCTTAAAAAAACCCTGCATTTATGTTTTCTTTAAAGTGATCCATTGTATACTTTATATGTTGTTGCACAACAAAAAAACAAGTTTCATAAACCTGTGTGAAATACAACAACTTAAAGTAAAACTCAGTCTGTCATCGGAAAGACATTGTGTTATGCTAAGTTAAATACAATGTAAGGATTTTAGGTAGCTTAAAGGAGAACTCTTGGGTCAGGGCTTTTCCCCATAGTACTCCTAAGGGTCACGGGAGAACACAGACTAGCGTACCCCTGTGACCCAAAGCTCAGTATGTCGCAAGCTACAGCTCGCGGTATACTGAGACGCCGCAGCCGGGACGGATCCCGACATTGCTGTCGAGATCCACCCAGCTGCGGGATTGACAGCTGGCTCTGCCTATCCAGAACAGCACTCCGTTCCTCCAGTCAGCGCTGGATGATCGGACAGGGGAGGGGGGAATCCCTGCGGGAAGCCGTGAGTGACAGTCACAGCTCTCTGCAGGGATAGATCGAGAAGTGAGCGAGCGACAGTATGTGTTCGCTCACTTCCTGATCTACTGAGCCGACCTGTGACAGTTTTATTGTCACAGGTCGGTTCAGATTATGAGGCTGAGTTAAAATCACTCGCCTCATAATTCTCCTTTACTTGCTTACAGTCTTCCGTTCTCTTGAAACTGACAACTGGACTTTATTCCCTCCTTTTTCCTCAGTGCCAAGTCCACAATGTGGTCATGATACACTATACCTGGTTGCAGATTGAAACAGACTGTATTAGGTACAGCTGACAGGGCTTCTCTGAAAGCATGGGCCTGCACTTGACCGATACTGGATGAATCGCTTGTTAACATTAAACCTACACAAGTTTACATTAAGACCAGAGGGCATACCTTGACTTCCTAAAATGCACACTTCAATACACACCCCCTCATCAGTTTAAAGTACTAGTGCACACTACAATAAAAGCCCATTTTAATATGTTCTGACTGTAATCACATTTGCTTTTTAACATTTTAAAGGTTAGTTTGGCGGCCATGTGATCACAAAGCTTCATTCATGTACTCTTACCCATAGCAGACTGAATGTCTGTTAATAATGCAGTGGCCAGGCTTTGGGCAAGTATTAACATGTTCTTAACAAGCAGTAAATAAGCATTAAAATAAGCCTTCACTAACCTCTGCAGCGGCAGGAACCGTGGAGCAATTCCTCAAAGTTGGCACTGAGGTCAGGTTCTAGTTGGGTTCTTGTCCGATTCTCAACAGCTTATCTCCTAATGTAAACCCCTGCTCTGTGTTTACACTAGAAGATGAATGCTAAGTCACTGCTGAGAGAGGCAGCAGGCAAATGTGAGTTGCACCTGAAAACAGATTTGAATTGCAGTTCAGGGTCTATGCTTAGAACTAGGGATGCACGGATACCACTTTTTTGGGTCTGAGTACGAGTACCGATACTTTTTTTTAAAGTACTCGCCGATACCAATTACCAATACTTTTCCTTAAAGGGGCAGATCACATTTTTTCCAAAGCAATGCAAAATAATGATTTTAGGTCAGTTTCCTAATTTTCTGTGAATGCCGGCCTCTTCTCATGCTGATTGGCCGATTGGATGATTGACAGGCTTCCCCACCAATCACGAGTGAGGACAGAGGAATTGCCTCTTCTC